TTTTTTCCACCCCAGGCCGTTTTCTGTCGGCCCCACGGCCGACAGTGGTCAAAGGCCTTGCGACGCCAGGGGGCCTGAGCCTCCCCACGACCCCGAGGAGCGAGGGCGACGCCGCGAGCGGCGGGAGGGCGCGCGGCGGGCCTTCAGCTGCTGGAGGTCGCCACCCTCCGTGCTGGCCCTGCTGGCGCGCAGAAGAACGGGTGCGGCTTTTGAAGGGGCCCTGGGACACACAAATAAATACACACACAAATATTACCCCAGTGCGACCCAACCTAGAAGTTGGAGCCCCTAGAAAAGCAGCATTAGTTGCTATGTTATGCTATGTTATGCCATGCTATGCTGCGCTATGCTATGCTATGCTATGCTATGCTGTGCTGTGCTGTGCTATGCTATGCTACGCTATGATATGCTATGCTATGATATGCTATGCCATGCTATGTTATGCTATGCTATGCTATGTCATGCTGCGCGGTGCTATGCTAAGCTATGATATGCCATGCTATGTGATGCTAAGCTGCGCTATGCTATGCTATAATATGGCATGCTATGATATGATATGCTATGCTATGATATACTATGCTGCGCTATGCTATGCTATGATATGCTATGATTGGCTATGCTATGCTATGATATGCCATGCTAATGCAGCGCTGCGCTATGCCAAGCTAAGTTAACCCTCTAGGCAGAGCCTAGGTAGGGAATTACACACATGCTTGCCTTTGCGTTGCTGCTATGCTATGCTATGCTCTGCTCTGCTCTGCTATGCTATGCAATGCTGCGCTGTGCAATGCTGTGCTGTGCTGTGCTGCGCTATGATATGCTATGCTATGCTATGCTATGCTATGCTATGCTATGCTATGCTATGCTATGCTGCGCTATGCTATGCTGGGTTATGCTATGATATGATATGCTGCGCTATGCTATGCTACGTTATGCTATGCTATGCTGTGCTCTGCTATGCTGAAGCTCAGCGAAGCTAAGATGAAGGTAAGCTAAGCTAAGGTGAAATTACACCCATGCTATGATATGCGATGTTGCGCTATGCTATGCTACGCTTTGCTATGCTATGCTGTGCTCTGCTATGCTTAAGCTCAGCGAAGCTAAGATGGAGGTAACCTAAACTAAGATACAACTGAGGTAAGATGAAGCTAAGCTAAGGTAAGATGAAATAAGCTAAGCTAAGATGAGATAAGCAACGCGAAGCTAAGGGAACGTCACTGGGGCAACCGCGGGGCGGATACTGGGGGAACCGCCCGGGGCGTGCCCCACTGCCCTGCCCTTTAAGCTACGAAGTAAGAACCCTTCTAGGCAGAGCCTAGGTAGGGAAAAAGGATTCCCAATATGTTTGCATATGTTCTCTGTTTTTGTCTTCACCCCCACTTCCCATATTTTCCAATATTTTCCTGTGGGTCGACGATTAATTGTGTCTGTGTGTTTTTTCCCCTCCTGAGCTTTGGACGCCCGGAATGGGTACGCAAAAAAATGGGCGCATTGCCCAACAACACATGTTGTCCCACACCAACAGCGGCCGCTGTTGGGCAGGCGGCCTTCTGTCTCAAACGGACACAGGCCGCGGCGGCGCGGACAGCGAGTCCTGTTCAAAATGCACAGGCACTGCTGTTGGGCATCGTACCCATTCTTTCCGTACCCATTTCGTTCGTGCCGAGCGGCGGGAGGGGGAACGTAAAGTGGGTGGCCGGCTCAGGGGGTGAAGACATCGAGCTGGAACCGGCGATACATCGCCGATAGATCGGCGATAGAGTGAAGTCGGGCTTGTCCCCCTGCAGGGGGATTTTGGACGAAAAATAGAAGATACCCAACAAATGCCCCCAAATGGTCATAAATAGTGAAAAAAAACGCCAAATAGTGAAAAAAAACGCCACCAGACTATTCGTTGACTCTTTGTGAGCATTCCTCCTGTAGAAGGATGGGCCCGACGGAACGACAGGGAGGCGGAGAGCGAGCCCGCACGCTCCTGGGCGGGGTGCGCCGCCGGGCCCCCCCGCGGCGGCTGGGAGCCGCGGCCTCCCCATCAAAGGGGGGGGGGGGGCCTTCCGAGAAGCCAGGGCCGGGGGGGGCTTCTGAAGGGGGCCCCTGGGACACACGAATGCATAGAGACACGAATAACAGGATGTCCCATATCTTCCCACATCTTCTGGGTTCTCGTCTCCCCACCCCCACTTCCCACATTGTCCCAAAAATTTTCCTGGGAGTCGACGATTGATCGCGTCTGTAAGTTTTTTCCCCGCCTGAGCTTCCCCAGACGTATTCGCGTCGTGGACACACCATGACTGGAGGCGCTTTTGTACCTCAAAATGTTCGGCCTCGCGGGAGCCTGACGGGTCCCCCACACCTCGGGTGTTGCCACGTGTGCCCATGGCCGCAGATGCCCCCAGGATTCGCAGGGGGATCGCCACGGCCTCCAGGGCACCCCTCACGAGGCCCAGAAGGTCCAGAGGCTCCAAAATGGAGCGAAAAGCTGGGGGCACCTTGTGCCAGGGGTGCCTGTAGCAATCCCCGAATACAGTTGAGGACGACTGGGGGTGGAAAGCCCTGGCCCCAGGGAAAGGATCAGGATGGGAGCGGCACGTGTGTACATCGAGGTGAGTGGGCCTTCACCGGGATAACAGCGCACATGTTTGGTGGAACGTCTCACGCTCGCGAGCCCTACCCCGAAAGATGTCCATTACGCTATGCGCGATGGCGGTCATGCTCCTGCCCCCGACGAGATCTCTTCGGCATGGGGGAAGCGGGTCCTGAGGCCTTCCCACGGGACGAGATCTTGAAGAAATTCCCCCCTCAGACGCTTGTAGCATCAGGAATGTGGAGTAGCATGCAGCAGTGTAGAATGCATCATGTAGCATAGCATTGTTGTCACGTTGCATTCCATAGCCCCTTTCGGCAAAAGACTTCTTCATGGTAGCGCGTGGGGTCGGGCCCGCGCATGCCTGGGAAGACAAAGGGGCAACGACGGACGCCCGACGCCATCCAGCGTCGGCTTGAACGGGGTGCTCGCCGGCGGCTCGGCGACAGCACCCAGCCTGAGGGGCCGGCGGCCCCAGCACCGGCGGCAGCGGGCAGCACCGCGCCGCCCTCGCGGGCTGCTCCGGCGGCCTCAGCACCGGCGGCAGCGGGCAGCACCGCGCCGCCCTGGCGGGCTGCTCCGGCGGCCCCAGCACCGGCGGCAGCGGGTAGCCCCGCGCCGCCCCAGAGGCCCGGCACTGCGGCCGGGAGGAGGCAGCAGGCCGCGCAGCCGCTGCCAGAGGAGCCGAGGAGGGCCGTTTTCCTTCGGCCTGCTCGGCGCTGCAAGGAGGAAGAGAAGGAGGCCCCAGACTCTCGGGCACGCGCGGGGCGCGGCAAGCGTCCACGAGTCCCAGGAGGGGACACTGAGGAGAGAGGAAGGAAGAGGAAGGACAAGCGTACTGAGGAGGAGGAGTCGGAGGACGGCAGGAGGGCAAGGTCGTCGTCGACTTCTCCGCCCTGCGACCTGAAGGGCCGCGCTGCTTCGAAGCGCGTTTCGCGTCTAGGCTCCGCTGCGGTCGGGTCGGAAAGGGGCTCGGGCCAGAAGGGAAGCAAGAGCAGGGTAAAGGAAGAGGCTACGGAAGCGGCGTCTGCGCGGGTAGCCCCGCCGTCGCCGAAAAGGGAGGATGGCAGAGGAGCAGCTCCGGCTGTTGACCCAGCAGATGGAGCAACTGACGCAACGGTTGACTGCGATTGGTCAGGAGAACCGTCAGCTGACAGCGACGGTGACATCTCAGCAGCAACAGATCAGCCAACTGCAACAGGCGGGAGGCGCCGCGCAGCGAGGCGCGGCGGCAGCAGCTCCCGTCGTCTCTAACGAGTCCATCGGTCTCTTGATCGAGGCGCTTTCGGAGCAGACCAGAGCACTCTCGAGGAGGGATCGGCCAGTTCTGGTCGACGTGAAAGGAATAGGCAGGCCGTACACCTTCACCAACGACGAGAGCAAGTTCCCAGAGTGGTGTAAGAAAGTAGAGGACTACTTGCTCGGAGTCGAGCCACAGCTGGCAGCTGCGCTCGAGTGGGCGCTCGAGCAGGAGGACGAGTTCACGACGGCTGAAGCAGTCCTCGCCCTCGGGCCCAACACGGAACATGCCATAGACGATATCGCGGCACTCAACTTACAGATCAAGTCGGTACTCTCGAACTTGACTGAGGGCGAGTCGTGGACTATCGTCCAGAACTGCGACCGCAACGGTCTAGAGGCATGGCGCCGGCTGCACAGAAGGTTCGACGCGCTGACAGGCGGGAGGCGCCGGGCGCTGCTGCGGGCCATCCTGTCCCCTCACAGGGTAAAGTTGGAGGAGGTAGGAACAGCGCTCCAGCTGTGGGAGGAAATGGTCACGCGGTACAACAAGAAGCAACAGAGGCTAGGAGAAGCCCCGATTGCTGACGAGTACTTGTGCAGTGCCTTGGAAGCGCTGGTCCCTGAAGACGTTGAGAACCATCTTCAGATGAACGCGAACCGCTTGAAAAAGTACAGCGACATGCGGGCGGAAATGGTGACCTTCTACGAGGCCCGCACAGGAAAGAAGGTTCGCGTGACCCTGCAGGAGCGCATGAAGAGCGCTAGTTCCGGCGGCCCTGCGCCCATGGACGTCGACAGCCTGCAGGCCAGCAGAGGCGGCAAAGGAGGAAAAGGAGACCACAGGGGAAAAGGAGACAAAGGAGGAAAAGGAAACCACGGCGGAAAAGGAAAGGGCAAAGGAGGAGGAAAAGGAAAGGAAGACGGGGGTAGGCACGCACCCCCGCCGAAGCCCTTTGAGGGGTACTGCGACAACTGCGGAAAGTGGGGGCACAAGAAGGCGGACTGCTGGGGCAAGCCCCAGGACAGGAGGAGACACAAGGGTGACCCCAAAGGAGGGGCCAGCGGCCGCGGCGGCCGCGGCCCCAAGGGAGCTCGAGGCAAAGGCGCGGCCTCACTCGAGGAAGCAGGAGACCGCGGACACGAGCCCGAGACGGAGCAGGCCTCCCTCGAGCTAGGTGCGTTCGATGTGCGGGCAGCCCCGCCTTCGGTCGCCCCTGTGGCTGGCGTGGACGACGAGGGGTACACCAAGTTCAACCTCGACACCGGCGCAGCAGTCACTGCGTTCCCCAGGAGCCAGTTTGGCAGCGGCCACCCAGACGAGAACCACAGAGGTTACGTCACCGCGAGCGGGGAGCGAATCCCTGACTGCGGAGGGAGCCGGCTCGTGTGCACGGACGAGCACGGGCAGCGTCGCGGTATCACTGGCCGTAAGACAGACGTACACAAAGTGCTGGCCTCTGCAAGCCAAGTCTTCAGAGGTGGAAAGCAGGTGGCGTGGCTGACCGAGGATGGTGGGTACATCATTCCGCGCGACGGTCCTGTCGCGAAAGCTATCGCCAATGTGATCCAAAGGCACGAGCAGCTTGAGTCCGGGAAGACCATGCTGCCGGTTTACCAAGAGAAGGGCGTGTACAACTTTTACCTGAAGGTAAACACCCAGGAGGAGATCGGAGCAGTCTCCAAGACGAAGGAAGGCTCGCCGCTTTTCGGGCGGCAGGGCAAGCACCTGTAAGCCCGCTCGAAGCTCCGGCTGCGGGTAGCCCCGCGCCGGAGGAAGCGCAGGCTGCGGGTGGCCCCGCGCCTGCGGCAGGAGGAGCAGCAGCAGAAGAAGCGGGAGAACGGCAGGATGCGGGTAGCCCCGCGCCTGCGGCGGCAGGAGCACCGGAAGAGCAGGAGGTAGGAGAGGAACAGCCTAGGGTGCGTCAGCGGGCAGCACCGCGGCCCCCTACCAAGCTTGAGCTTGCAGACCACTACGCTACAGGACATGCTGTCTATCGTTCGTGGTGCCGCCACTGCGTCAACAGCAGAGGCATCGGCGAACAGCACCGGCCACGGGCAGCACAGCAGGCAACGGAAGAGCATGCCGACCCGGTCGTAGTTTGTGATTACGGCTTCATGGGGGACACTGCGCAGGAAGAGACTATGCCAATACTTGTCATCAAGGACCGGACGACCAAGGGATATGCAGCAACAGCCATTCCCAGGAAGGGGGTCCATCTCTTCAACATCAAGTTCTTTGCAGGAGCAGTGAAGGAACTGGGGTGGAAGAAAATGGTGAGCAAGTCTGATGGCGAACACAGTCTTGTTGCCTTGAAGCAAGCAGTGTCTGACTCCATGCCAGGCGTGGAAATGGTCATGCAAGAGTCGCCTGACGGCGACCACCCGGCGAACGGTGAGGCTGAAAATGCTGTCAAAGAGGTGAAGAGACTGGTGCGGGTACACAAAGCCACCCTGGAAGAAAGGATCGGGAAGAAGCTTCCGGTCGACCATCCGTTGTGGACGTGGCTACCGCGCCACGCAGCAGCCTGCCTGAGCAGGTACAGAATCGGCCCAGACGGCCGGACGGCAGAACAGCGGAGGACAGGAAGAGCTTGGGCCAAGGCAGCTGTGGAGTTTGGAGAAAGGATCCATGCTCGACCAGCGGTGCCTCGGGAGCCCAGGAGCGGCTTCGCGCCGAAAATGGTCGAAGGCAGGTACGTAGGACACCAGTCCCGTACAGGAAGCCTTCTTGTGATGACCAGTACGGGCGTGATCCGTGCCAAGGCATTCAACAGGATGCAGGAAGGCGAGAGGTGGACCAGCGAGGGGCTGGAGGACCTCAAGGGGGTACCATGGCAGATGGTGCCGCCGGCTGCGGGTAGCACCGCGCCGGCCCCGGCTGCGGGCAGCCCCGCGCCGGCAAGGGCTCCGCCACTCGCGGCGGGAGCAGAGGCAGCCGCGGACGCTGCAAGACCAGCGCCTGCGCCACACCCGGTGGCAGCAGGAGGAGGAGGAGGAGTAGGAGGAGTCCCGGGACCCAGGAAACTCTACATCCTCAAGAGGGACATCGAAGCCTACGGGCCGACTCCCAACTGTATGGCGTGTACGAACATCTCGTGTGGGATACCGGCAGGAGTGGCACACTCTGTCGAGTGCACGCAGAGAATGAAGGCGCACATTGAGGCAGATGTGCAGCAACGGAGGCGGGTGGAGGCGCAGCAGGCACGCAGAGGAGCTGATGTGCCAGCGCCGCCCGCGGGCGGCTCCGCGGCGGACGCGTCGGGAGCGCCTAGACAGGCAGGAGTCCCAAGGGGGCCGCCTGGGCCGGCAGAAGAGCGGCCAGCAGCCAAAAGGAGGGTGGACCAGATGCCCACGGCACTGGACCGGGCGGCGCTGAAGCGACCACCGGAAGATCCGCCTGACGATCCAAGGCTAGAGACGGCGGACGACGACGTGATCGTGCCGCCAGCGGTGCAGGCTCAGGCAGCCGCAGCATCGGAAGGAGCGAACGCGAGCTCGTCGGCAGGGCCGGCTGCGGGTAGCTCCGCGCCGGCGCCGGCTGCGGGGAGCTCCGCGCCGGAAGGGCCAGATGTGGCCATGGGGAGTTTCTCAGCAGGGAAGGAGGAGCTGAGACGCATGTACGAGGGTAGGATCGTGGAAGCCTACCGTACAAGTTGCGTCGACTTGTCGTCTTCTGAACTGGACGACGTCACCCAGATGGCACTCGAGCTAGGAGCCGTCGAGTTGCCAGACGCGTGCCCTGGAAGGCACACGGTTCGCAACCCACCTGCCGGCAGCCTGGGGTTGAGGCCCGGAGTGTGCATGGACATGGAATGTCCACGGCCTGATGGTACGAAATGGGATTTCGCTAAAGAAGCAGATGTGTCTGAGTGGTTCGAGACACTGGAGCGCGAGGATCCCTACATCGTCGTCGGGTCGCCTCCTCTTACAGCCTTTCCTCAACTACGACGTACTCCCAAGAAGAGGAACGAGGAGGAGAGTCGTAAGGAGGAGGAGGAGGCGAGGAGGAACTTGTGGGTTGCATGTGAGAGCTACAGGAAGCAGGCAAGGAGGGGACGATACTTATTGCACGAACACCCACATTGCGCCAGCAGTTGGGAGGAGAAGGAGGTAGAGGAGGTCATGAGGGGAGAAGGAGTGGTGCGAGTGAAGGGCCCCATGTGCAGGTGGGGCGAAGCAGGAGACAGCGGCACACCCTTCGCACGAACCCCGACGAGTTTCATGACCAACCTTCCAGAGCTAGCCGCAGAATTGCGCAAGCAGAGCTCCGGCGAGAGAGGCAGCGGGCAGCCCCGCGCCCAGGAGCCACTTGTGCATGTCAAGCTGGAAGGCGGCCTCGTTCGGAGGTCACACCTACACACCCCAATGCTGGCACAATGCCTTCTGCGAGCCATTCGTGAGAGCATGGGTGCTGACGGCCAGTTGTCCGATCTGGCCGCAGCGACAGCAGGCCCTGTGCCGGTCGCCCCAGAACCGTACGAAGCAGGCAGGGAAAGCCTGGACGACGACGAGCGCTACTGGGACGACGTGAACGGAGGCTGGCTGGACCCACAGATGGTTCGAGAAGAGCGACGGCGAGAAGTACAGTGGCTACACAAGCAAGACGTGTACGAAAAGAGGACAATAGAAGAGTGCAGACAGGTGACAGGGCAACCGCCCATAAAGCTGATGTGGATAGACACCAACAAGGGCGACCACGAGAATCCGAACTACAGGTCGCGGATTGTCGTGCGAGAGAAGCGCGGCAAGGGCGAGGAAGGACGAAAACTCCCAGCAGCACTTCTCTTCTCAGCAATGCCACCTTTAGAAGCAGTCAAGATTCTAGGCGGCATGATGGTCCAAAGGCGGAGGTCCAGTAGGAACCGGCCTCTGGCCATGAGGTTCTTTGACATCTCCCGGGCCCATTTCTATGGGAAGGCGGAGAGAGCGGTGTATATAGAGTTGCCAGACACAGAAGCGGATGGCGTACATTGCGGTCTTCTTAAGAAAAGTATGTACGGCACGCAGGACGCATCTGCGATATGGCAACGAGATTATACGGCAGTCTTAGAAGCAGACGGACACAAGCCAGGCAAAGCCAACCCGGCATTGTTCTACAACATGAACGCCGACCTGCGGTCTCTTGTCCACGGAGACGACTTCTGCGCCCTGGGAGACGACGAGGCTTTGGACGAGCTGGAAAAGACGCTTCGGTCCAAGTACGACCTGAAAGTCACAGGAAGCCTCCGGCTTGGAGCCCGGAGTGACCAGGAGGTGGTCTTCTTGAATCGCATTTTGCGTGTTGCTGGGCCGCCAGGGGACGAACGTTTCGAAGTTGAAGCAGATCCCCGCCACGCAGAGATGATCGTGGCAGAGATGGGGCTAGCAGGAGAGAAGACGAAAGCTTTGGACGCGCCAGGGCTGAAGAAAGAAGAAGCAGAACACGAGGAGAGAGAAACTTCGCCGCTGCTCACCGGGGATGCTGTGAAGCAGTACAGGAGCGTGACGATGCGTGCAGCTTATCTTTCTCCAGATCGTGCGGACATAGGAGACGCAGTGAAGAACTTGGCAAAGTATATGCAGTCCCCGAGGCAGGTAGATGCTGTACGCCTGAAGAGGTTGGCCAGATACCTCAAGGGACGGCCGCGTGTCGTGCAGAAGTTCACCAGGGACAGGAACACTGCCAACGATGACGTCGTCAAGGTGGTGATCATGGTGGACAGCGACACCGCCGGAGACAAGGTGTCTCGGAGGTCAACAGTCGGCCAAGTTGCCTTCGTCGGCAAGCACGTGGTCAAGCACATGTGCAACATCTTGCAGGTGATCGGTCTCTCGTCTGGCGAGAACGAGTACTATGCCATAAGCGCGGGTGCTTGTACAGGACTAGGCATCAAGGGTATATTAGAAGACTGGAATGTGGTGTGCGAGCTGAAGGTGGTCTCTGACTCATCAGCGGCACGAGGCTTCTCTTCGAGGAGAGGGGTAGGAAAGCAGAAACACATCCAGACACGATACCTCTGGGTGCAGGAGAGACTCGCTATGAGACATCTCGATCTCGGTAAGTTTGGCACGAAGGAGAACAGGGCAGACTTGCTCACCAAGCCACTTACGAAGAAGGAGATGGAGGAGCACATGAAAGGAATCAACCAGGAGTTTCGGGAAGGGCGAGCGCAGTATGGTCTGCGCCTACTCTGACCGGACCGCAGAGGAGCCGGGAGGCGAAACGCCCGGCATCGAGCACGAGCTCGACTCTGAGCCCCTGGCTGCGGGTAGCCCCGCGCCGGGTGCGCAACCGAGCCTGGAAGCGGGGAGCTCCGCACCAGGCCTGAGCCCAACACGGCGCCTAGCTGCGGCGGGTGGCCCCGCGCCGGGCGCAACGCTACTGAGCACTGAACACCTTGCCACTGCGTGGTTGTGGATCGCCACAGCTCCGCTACCTTTTCTGGATGGCGAGGGCCGTCCACCGGACTGACAGAGCGCCGCGAGACGGGGTACAGCCCGAATCGCTGCGAGGAGGGGTGAAGAAATTCCCCCCTCAGACGCTTGTAGTATCAGGAATGTGGAGTAGCATGCAGCAGTGTAGAATGCATCATGTAGCATAGCATTGTTGTCACGTTGCATTCCATAGCCCCTTTCGGCAAAAGACTTCTTCAGATCTTCATCCTGAGCCGTTCTCTAACAGCCACGGGGCCCTTGGAGGGCCCCGAGAGCCCGAAAACGGCGACAAACCTCAGGACCCGTTTCCCTCAGGACCCACCCACCCCCATGGCGATCATGCTCCTGCCCCCGACGAGGTCCCTGGGGTTCCGCGCTGCGAGAAAAACACACCGCCGAAGCCTGGGCTTAGATCGGGCACGTCCTCCTACAGGCGGAGTTTGGAAGAAAACCAGAGCACCCCCAAAAAATTGAAACATAGACACAACTAGTAAAAGCAAAATCGCCCCCAGACTATTTCTGAGTATATTTGAACATTCCCCCTGTAGAGGGACATGCCCGACGTAAGCCTGGGCCCGAGAGGCGAGAAGCGAGGCGAGCGTCGGAGCCGTGCGCGCGCCGTTGGGGAGCGCACCCCTGCCCGCATCAGGGCTTTGGCCGGAAGGCCGCAGCCTCGACAGGGAAAGCACACATTGGCAAGCGGGGAGCAGCAGAGCCCTCCTCCTCCTCCTCCCCCTCCCCCTCCTCCTCCTCCTCCTCCTCCCTCCTCCCTCCTCCTCCTCCTCCTCCCTCCTCCCTCCTCCTCCTCCTCCTCCTCCTCCCCCTCCCTCCTCCTCCTCCGCCTCCTCCTCCTCCCCCTCGTCCTCCTCCTCCGCCTCCTCGTCCTCCACTTCTTCATGGAAGGCCGGCCCCTGGGGCAGAGGTCGGGACTTCTGTGGGGGCCCGCGCTGCGAGCAGAGGCACGGCGCCAGGGGGGCCCCCTGCACCAGCCGCCCGCGTGGCGAGGCACAGTCGGGGAGTTGACCTAAGGAACCCTGCATAAGGAACGAGGCCCGTTTTTCCAGAAGTTAAGCTTGGATCTCCCATGGAAGACCCCAGCAAAACCGAAGGCAAGCTGCGAAATAATCAAGGAGCACGGAGCCCCCCCACTACGCAAAGGGTTCCTTCTTCAGCGCCCTGGCTGTACATTAGCAAGGATGAGGCGGGTCCGGAGGGAAGCGGGTCCTGGACCCACTGGCCTTCCCCCAAAGACGAGACCTTCATCCTGAGCCGTGTTTTGACGGCCCGGGGGCCCGTGGAGAGCCCCGAAGGCCCGACAACGGAGAAAAATCTCAGGACCCGCTTCACCATGGCGAATAAATCGGGACGCACGTGGCACCTCTCTTGCGGGCGCAACTTCTACTTCCGGCGGCTTCCGCCAGCCTTTCGCCAGCTTCCGCCCGCGACACCGCATACGCTTCACTTCCGCCAGCCTTCGCCGCCATCCGCTGAGAAAGAGATGGCAACTTCCTCGACCCTCGAATGCGAGGCCTTCCGTGGAACGCCTCACGTGTTGACCACCAATCAATGCCCCCGGCGGCCCCGACGCGGGCTGCTTCCCAAAGAGGGAATCAGAAATTCCGACGAAGGCTTTTCGGAAAGCAGGGCGGCCTGCGGGAAGCCCCTTGCCATCTCTGAAGACCGCCCCCTTCTGCCCCGCCCGACAGAAATCCACTCAGAGCCTGTCCATGCGCCACTCCTGGAGTCCACCCTGGCCACACTTCCGAACCGCTTCCAGCCGTGGCGACGAAAGCCTCAAGACGCCCACAAGCCTCGAAAACAACGACGATGAGACGACGACGACGACGACGACGACGAAGGCGGCGGCGAGGACGACGGCGGCGACGACGACGACCGTCTTGCGAACATGTCTAAGAAGCTGCTTTGACCTTCATGTGTCTCTCCCTCCTGTATCCGCCGACTAGTATATGAACCAAGCCCCGTCTAGAACTGAGTTCTTTTCATACCAGCTCCTGCTAGAAGCATTCAGCAGCACTTTCTGTGCGCGAGGCGCGCCGACATGGCTGTTATGTGAGTTAGCACGGCCGAAAGAAACTGCGAGGACGTGACGAGCGGGAGCCACTGTCGCCTTAACTGAGCATTACCAAAGTGAAACGACTTGCGAGCACGTCTCGAGCAAGCGCGCCAGTCCTGAATCTGATAATGTATATGACCACGGCGTCTCGGAGTGAACTATGAGAAAAATATAGAGCGGGAGCCATTGTCGTCGCAATTTGGCCTCCGACAACTTGACTGAATTTGCGAGCCAGTCTCGAGCAAGAGTGCCGTTCCCGAGTTCTGTGCTCTCTCTCTCTCTCTCTCGCTCTCTCTCTCTCTCTCTCTTCCTCCAGGGCGTCTCGAAGTAAATTGTGAGCAAGAATCGAGCAACAACTGATCTCGTCGTAGGGGCTCGGGAGAATTCTTTTAACGCTGGACACCAGGCCAACGTCGCGAGAGAATGTGTGCTTGCACCATACAGAACTTGCACCACACAGCTTCCGCTTTACTCCACACTACGCAAATGTCACCATATACCCTGCGACGACGTGGGTTTGCACCACGTAGCTTCCACCATACTTTGCACTACACGGCTTGCACCTCATGGCTTGCGACGATGTGGGCTGCACCACGTAGCTTGCACCACATAACTGGCACCACACACGTCGGTGGCATCACATAATTTGCACCGCATAGCTTGCACCCGTTTTCTACCGAGCGGCGCCGCTGTTCGGGATCTCTCGGTTTTGCCCCGGTTTGGGTTGGTCCTCGCTGCGGTCGGATTCAGCTGTGGCTGGCACTTATGTACGCCTTGCGGTTAATCATGTCCAACCAGGCAAGTGATGAGGACGCTCTCGTGCCACATCGGGATATTGGTGAAGATGTTTCCAGCGAAACCGCGGCAAAACCAAGCAAAGGGTGAGGATGTTCAGGCGAAATCGCGAGCAAGCCTCAAGCAACACCAAGCCATAACCAAACCAAGCAAGCAAAGCGTGAGGAGGTCTCACGCGGAACCGCGCAAACACCAAGCCAAACCAGACAAATTGTGAGGACGCTTCAAACGAAACCGCACCGACACCAAACCAACCCAAGCATTGGTGAGAACGTCGTCTCAATTGAGGATATCTCAGGCGGAGCGCCCTGCCAAACCAAACAACACCAGGCCAAACCAGGGGCCCAACAAGGCAAATTCTGAGGTTGTCCCAATCGAAACGCCCCAGACAAGGCTCCATTATTCAAGAGAGTGGATGACCCAAGGGCCCCCTCCCCGCCGCAAGGGCTCCTGTAGTTAGAACTTGAATTTCATGTGGCGTGGGAAGGCCCCGCAAGTGAACAATGTTGATCATACTTGTTACCGTTTAACGCCCCTCGCGGGGATAGAAGCCTATTGGATGCAGCTTACTTTTTGGAGCGTCGTGCTGTCCCCTCCTCCTCCTCTCGCATTTTTTCGCCAGTGGGTTCGGAAACGACGCCTGAAGCCAAACGTCACGAAACAAGCTGGGGGGGGAAAGCACGCGACGCAGGAGGTCTGGGGCCCAGAAACTGATGGAGGTGGCCGGAAGCCTCCGGCCTCCAGAGGTCCACTTCTGAGGCTCTCGGAAGGCTCCAGTTGGCTCCCGAAAGGTCAGACAGGTGCCAGGAACATGATTCCTTGGGGTTCGGTTTTCGAGGCCCGTCTCCAAATCTGCTTCGCAGTGCCAGCGCCCTTGTGGTCGTGATTTCCTCCCGCGTTTCCTCCTCGCGCTGTGTTGTTTCTGAGGTGTCGAGCCTCTTCATCTTCCTCGTCCATGCAATGTCCCTCCCGCTCCTGCTTCCTGCTTCCCTCATCCGTCCTGCTCCTCCTCCTCGTCCTCATCCTCCTCCTCCTCCTCCTCCTCCTCCTCCTCCTCCTCCTCCTCCCCCCCCTCCTCTTCCTCCTCGTACAGATCCTCCACCGCTGCCTCCTCCTCCTTTCCCTCCTCCTCCTCCTCCTCCTCCTCCTCCTCCTCCTCCTCCTCCTCCTCCTCCCCTTCCTCCTCCTCCTCCTCCTCCTGGCCCTCCTTCGCTCCCCCACCTGTCCGCATTCAAACAATATGAATACTAATCTCCCTCCTCCCCTAAATACGTCTGGAAGAACTCCCGGCCCCCTCCGCGTGCTGTTTTTACAAACATAAAGTTTGACAATTATACAGGAAACAACCTGATTTCACACACGGTGTTCCCGCTGCAGCGTGGGCCTCATTTTCGGATCGGCGCTTTGCTCCCGTCGTTCAGAATGGCGCTCTCGCCCCAGCGCGGGCCACTTTTCTGGGTCCGAGTCCTGCTTCATTGTGGTCCCCCTCAAATCCCCTCCCCCGCCATTTCCCTGGTCCTCCTGTTCCTTCCGCTCCTTCCGCTCCAATTCCTGTTGCTGCTGTTCGTCTCGCCCCAGCGCGGGCCACTTTTCTGAATCCGAACCGTTCTTCATCGTTGTCGTCCCCCTCAACACCGCCCCCTCATCCGCCTTTCCCTGGTCCTTCTTTTCGTCCGGATCCGTCCGTTTTAGTTCGTGTTTTTGCTGTTCGTCCTCATCCTTGTCCTCCCGCTCAGTCTCCTGCTCACCAAACACCTCCTCCTCCTCCTCCTCCTCCTCCTCCTCCTCCTCCTCCTCCTGTGCAATCAGCTCCCATTTTCTTCGATTGCGAATAACATGAAGCGGTCTTTCTGTGAGGGTCGCAGGTCGGCTATGACATGCGTCCGCGGAT